TGAGGAGCAGGTGATGAATTCTTTCGTTTTTTTGCCAGTGGCTCACATCTTCACGTAATAGGTGACACTATGGGCCATGACAAAGCTACTGTGTCGAGGGTTTTAACCAAATTTACTGATGCATTAATTGCAAAGAGGGACCAGTTTATTAAATGGCCTTGTACGCCAGATAAGTTGAATGCAACAAAAATGGTTTCTATGAAAAAGCAGGCTTTCCTCATGTTATTGGCTGTGTCGATGGAACACATGTACGTATTCAAGCCCCCGCAGATGATGAGCCAAGCTTTGTCAATCGCAAAGGCTTTCACAGTGTGAATGTGCAAGGAATTTGTGACCAAAATTTTAAGTATTTAATGGGATTGAGCTTCAAAGCTGCGTTTCGTCCATCTTCATCTTAAACTTTGTCTTGTTTCAACACATCCGGTACGTCACTTTTCTATTTATAGGAGTTATTTATGGGTACGTAGTCAAGGTCGTTAAAAACACCCCTCGTCGCTTCTTGTTATCAGTTAAAAGCGAGGTTCAATTTTTCTTAGGGACTGGTCATTTTCTTTCAACTGGGGTGGGGGATGGGAGAAAACAGTGGAATTTATCTGTTTTTTTTATTTCATGTCCCACCTTGAGGAAGGAAAAAAAAAATCAAGACCCCGCTTCCAAAGACACTAAAATAAGAATAAGTTTTTACTTGTGGTAACAAGTACCTGCCAATTACTTTACCAGTTATACATAGACCGATAAACATAAACTATGTTCAATGAATTCTGAAACCAACTACAGACATGATTAGTAAGCAAGTTGTGAAATATATCACCCCATCAGAAGAAACTAAAGGAAAATGCCAGCGTTAAAGTCTCATTGACATTTATATCCACACTGAGACTACTATAACACAAAGTAGTCTCAGATCCACACCTTCATTCATGGACAATTTCAGCACAATGTTCATATGTACCCTTAATCAAAGAACCCGGTTAATTAATTTTAGATAAAAATACATTATTCAAAGAATTGTTGAAACTTATGACTTGACTCTAAACATTAAGCTGAGCGGACCGAGGCGAAAACAAAAATTAATGTCTTTTGTACCAAAACATTCTATCTTGTTGTATCTATAGAAAAAAAAATATAGACTTTATTCAAACAAAAAAATGTTCTCAAATTCTTCTATTTACCGGTAAATTTGGATAGTGAATGGTATTGAAAATAATCTTGGTATGGACTCCCTATTCTGGGACAGTCGTGTAACAGTACAACATAAGAACGAACTATAAAAATCAGTTGAAAAGGGCTTAACTCATCAGATGGATACACATAGAAATACATCTAACAAAAACACCCAGTAGACGTGGCCGGGTACATGTATATACGAAAAACAAAAACACACTAAGTATAGATCTGAGAGTACTCGCAGTTACTGATAGCTATATAAAAAAGAATATGTGGTATGATTGTCAATGAGACAACTCTCCACAAGAGACCAAAATGACACAGAAATTAACAACTATAGGTCACCGTACGGCCTTCAACAATGAGCAAAGCCAATACCGATTAGTCAGCTATAAAAGGCCCCGAAATGACAATGTAAAACAATTCAAACGAGAAAAATAACGGCCTAATTTATGTTCAAAAAATGAACGAAATACAAATATGTAACACATAAACAAACGACAACCACTGACAGGCTCCTGACGTGGGACAGGCACATACATACAGAATGTGACGGGGTTAAACATGTTACCGGGATCCAAACCCTCCCCCTAACCTGGGACAGTGGTGTAACAATACAACATAAGAACGAACTATAAAAATCAGTTGAAAAAGGCTAATTAACTCATTAGATGAATAAAAATACAAATACTACAAATACAAGTGGACGTAGCCGGGTACAATTTGGAGATGTGGTACGGTTGCCAAAGAGGCAAGAATATATCTATCAGTGAATCGACATGACAAAATGTGAAAAAAAAGTAAACCAAAAGAATAAACAACTTTCTTATTTGGGTCAAAAACCATCAAGAATGATCTATGAATTGTTGTTCATGATATACAGATAAATAATTAGTATATCATTCATATCTCCAATTTTAGGCCTCTTTACAAATGTAAGTGCTAACTGGCCTGGGTCATGTCATGACGCCCATGTTTTTAAAACTTCTGCAGTTGGAATCCATCTGCAGGATCAGTATACCAGTATCGAACAAGGTGTTGTTTTAGGAGACAGTGGTTACCCATGTCGTCCGTTTCTGCTTACACCGTTTAGGCAACCAAGAGAGCAGAGGGAACACAACTTTAATAGAGCTCATATAACAACAAGATGCACAATTGAGAGAACGTTTGAAATTTGGAAACAAAGATTTCGACTTCTGAAAACCGGTGTAAGCATAACGAATAAATACTGTTCATATAAATTATTATTTCAAGTAAGTGTAGAGGACATGAATAATAGTTCTGCAAACTATAAACATGGATGGAGATCAAACCAGCAAAATTTAGAAAGCTTCTTTTGTTGAATTTATACTTGATAAGCAAATCCAAAATTTGTCACCTCATTATTTATATGATTGTTCGTTTGTTTAATGCACATTAGCAAATATTTCATGGGTATTCAGGAATTCTAATTCTGTATCATGTTGGTCTCTTGATGAGAATTGTCCACATACCTTCTTATTTTTATACCGGAGTATTCATCTCAATAATTGGACCAATCTATCAGGAATAGTTCTTGTTTTATAATTGTTTGAGGCACACTTGAATTGATAACTATTCAACGAAGTAAAATAAGCAGCATCTTTTAGATTTTCGATCAAAATACGCATTTTGGCTATTTCATAGCTTTAATTATCCAATGTTGGATAAACGTTAATCAGAAACGTACGGCCATCTACAAGGTGCAATAGTATACCATACCATATAATGTTGCCAATAAAAGACTCCGATATGAAAAACTGTGTAACATTTTTTTTAATCAGCTGCTTGATTTACAACAAAAAAAAACCAAAACAATATAAAGCATATGATTGACACTGACCAACCAACGACAACCATTGAATTGAAACTTATCACTATTAGTACAAACTATATATTTGGTGAATTCAACGAAATGATATAAAAAAAAGAAGATGTGGTATGATTGCCAATGAGACAACTCTCCACAAGAGACCAAATGACACAGAAATTAACAACTATAGGTCACCGTACGGCCTTCAACAATGAGCAAATGCCATACCGTATAGTCAGCTATAAAAGGCCCCGAAATGACAATGTAAAACAATTCAAACGAGAAAACTAACGGCATAATTTATGTACCCATTGTTAATGTTCTATTGGCCAACGGTTGTATCAGTAAGAAAGTATATAAGAATAGTTTTTTGTTTGTTTCAGTGTTAAGTATACCCATAAATTCTTCTGTCATCCTGTTTTTTTAATCTTTTATGTTAAGCAAACGTTAATGTAACATGTATGATCAGTTCTTTCCTCCTTTAATAGTTGTACCACCATGGAGTGGATTATAGTGTTAAGGAGGAAATTAACCAAGCTGTATCATCACATATTGAATGTGCGGATTTGGGTACCCAATTCAAGAACATTAAATCACTACCAAATAAAATGCCAAAAACACAATTTTTGCATTTTGGGGGTCTTCTTAGGGGTTCGCATTTTAGTCATTCCTATCTCTGTAAAATCAAAGACAACAGTTGGAAATAAGAAATCCTGAACAAATGTTTGGGTTGAAAATTATAAGGATTAGACACATTTTCAAGAGGTCAAAGGGATGTAAATACTGGGCCAATGACTTACACACTTCACATATCATTAAGTTTATGGGACAACCATGAGCGTCTTGATGAATGTTCCACAACATGTTGAATCAATGAGACTACAATTTTTAGGAAATGTTTCAAACCATTCCATTTGCATGTCTCTATTCTAAAAAAATGACATGGTTTAATTACAGATTAGGATGAGACCAGATCGAGCATGCAAATTTATTCTAGCGTGTGCGATTCAACACAATATAGCCATGATGCTGAAAGAACCAATACTAGACAATGATGATATTCCAGAGGAACAACCAATGATACAACTATACATGGGACAACAAGATGGCCGAGGAATAAGGAACCATTATGCAACAAATTTTTTCTCATAATAAAAAAAATGAGTTGAGAATAACTTTCATACCAGTTTTGTTTTAACCTTTTCTTATCATGATGACCATCCTTTAGTTGTACATACATATACTGTAAATTCTGAAATTATTGCATGTATTTATAAATGGGGGCATTCATTGTCATTTCTGGAAATGTTGCATACAAACAATAATACTACGAAAATTTAACATGAAATTTTTGCGATAATAAAAACATCTGAATTTATATATTTCTATATTTACAGTATATCTTGTGTAACTTTGAAAAGATAACAGAATGAACAAAATTGTTCTTTCGACAGCGTCTAAATCTTTTAAGTAATAACATTTTTTTATAAAGTAAATAAAGCAGTAACAATTAAAAATAACAACATTAAAACAAAAAGAAATTTTCAACAATCTTCAAAACAAGATGACATGGCAGCAAGGTAAGCTACTTGAGAACCTGTCAGTGTTGGAGGAATAGTATTATCCTCATTCAACTTTTTCAGCAGTTGAATTTGTATGGCAACCTTTTCTGTCTGTTTTTTTCTCTTTTTCTGTCTGTTCTTTGACCAGCTGTCGCTGTTCTGTGTATAATGACATCTGCTCCTTCAAGACTTTGATTTGCATTTGAAAAACGTCATCTTGGGTTACACGTCTTCTTTTCTTAATAACATTTATACTTGGAACAGATATATTTTCAGTGGATTCACTCATTGCAGTTACAGGTCTGCTGGGTAGCCCAACTGTGGTATTGAGAGGCAAGGAGTTAACTAATATCATTGGCGAAAGAGGTATTCTTGTAGGTGTGTGCTGGCTCGACCAGTCAGTTTAAACCAGGTGATTGGGTTTACTAAGAGATAAAACAATCAGGTGCTGACTTTTATTCTATCACCAATCCAAAAATGGTAAATAACTGAAAATACAAAATAAAGTACAATTTTACAATGTGTTAACTAATATAATTAAAGTTAATGATTCATTCGGTATGGAGTAGCGGCGTAGTCCGGGATGTAGCAATTCAATGCTCCGACACGGCGTAGTCCAGAATGTAGAAATGAAATACTTTGTAAAAATAGATAAATTATACTTTTGTTGCACAGTTAAATGTATCACGCGCAATTTGAAGGCATCAATTAAACTATTTCAAATGTTACTCACGCTGTGGTTAGCCACAAATTGAGATTAATAATGCATCCTGCGACAGTCCTTTGTCCAGTGATGTGACGTGGCAAGGTTGATTTGCAAAAGACGGATGCGAGGCTACGGTAACAATAGAATGTTGTACGGTGAAGTCCAGATTTAACTCCGAAAAAATATAAACTAATCGTGAATATAATTACACAAAATATATAGATAAATTAGGGAACCCAAGGCAACACACTCCCCGTCTGATATCAGACTGATATCACTATTCAATGATTAAATCACATATGAATATAGAATATATAAATCCCAATTGAAACTGGGTACGGCACAGTTTCTCATTCTTTAAAAGGAAGTATCCGACGATATGATAGTCATCTGTGTACATTTTCCATTGTCGTTGTTGCAACGGTAAGAACAATTTTTCCCAACGTTGAAAGACGGCGATCGAAGATAGTCCTCTTCTGACTTTGCTATAGTCACATATTTGTGAGTCTCTGGCGAAATAAATCGTTTCCCCTTAACGTTTAATCATGCGGATCTAGTTGTTATATGGCGATGTCGATATTTGATTTTGTCGTAGTAATGTCTGACAAAAGGTGTTACTTTGTGATGATGTCCAGATAAGATCACTGGTTCCTTTTCATTAAGATTCGAGTCAGATATGACGATACTGCTTCCTTCTCGGAGTAGCAGATTAAGATTGGCAATTGGTCCTTGTTTCGGAATAGGTTTTTGTTTCTGAACGCACCTTTTTTCTTCTCCGTGATTTTCAGGTCTTGCTGATTCCAGAATGAAAGTTTCGTTATCCATAGAATTTTCAATTGAGGCCATAGATTTCGCTTCTGTTGACACAAGTGCTGTTCCTTTAGAAAGATACGTGAATCTACCAGACTTGGTACTAGGTCCAGTACACTGAAGAATTTTTATGGAATGCGTTTTTGCAACCTTGACATTCGAATGAAAGTTCTGGTCGTGATCCTGACTAACGATTGGATTCTCGTCCTTGACTGATATTTCCGGTCCAGAGGCAAGAAGTTGTTCTGGTTCCGTGAATGAAACGTTAGTTATCGTCAGGTTGACTTCAAGTGGAACAGTTTGCTTGTCAACATATGTATTTCCAATTATGACCCAACCAAGTTTCAACTTTTGGGCAAATGGATTTCCGGATGGTCCTAGGCGTTGTTCAAGGACGTGGTGTGCCTCTATAAGGTCTCTTCCAATTAACAGTTGAATTTTGCACTTTTCTTCTATTGGTGGAATGCTTCCTCTGAGTTCTTTTAAATGAGGATGATGCATTGTTACTTCAGGAGTAGGAATTTCTTCCCGATTATTGGGAATATTATCACATTCAATTAATGTAGGCAGATCAAATTGTACGTCACCATGTACAGATTTTATGACGAAATCTCTTCCTCTCATCCCAGAAGTAGCTACTCTGCCGGAGCATGTTGTTAGAGAGTATTTTCCCGGTTTTTCCAGATAGTGGAACTGTCTGAAGAATTCAGGCGAGGCAAGAGACCGGTTGCTTTGGTTGTCAATGATGGCGTACATCCGAATAATTTTGTCTGTCCTGTACACATCCACAGGTAATAAATTGGCATAAGATTTCTCACTCTTATGATCCTTGTAGATCTCTGTGCAGGTCGAACTCACAGAGGTTAACTTTGTTTCAGCTGACTCTGTCTGCTCCCCGCCGTAGATTGTTCCAGGCAAATTATCTTGAGAAATGGTGTGTGATTGCATCCTTGTTATGTGTAGTGCGGTGGTGTGTCGTTGACTTCCACACTCGTTACAACTGATGCTCGCGTTGCAATCACGACTTCTGTGTGTGGTTGACTCACAACACTTGTAGCACACATTGTTCTGTCTTAACAGTTCTTTGTGTTCCTCGATTGATTTGGCTCGGAACGCTCGGCATTCATTCAAGGGATGCTTTGTCTTGTGTAGGATACACAGATCTTGTTGTTGACTGCTGTCTCCAGTTTGCTGTTCACCATCCGTCTTATGGACGTCGATTTTAGAGTAGGTCTGAGGTTTGAACTTCGGCGCAGCACCTTTTGTATTTGGTGTGACTTTTGACCCAAAGATGAAACCAGGATCGTTCTTTATTTCGCTAATTTCCCTGACGAAGGCAGAGAATTCTGTGAAAGGTGGAAAGGCAACTTCGTGTTTAGACTTGTATCTTGAAGCCCTTGTTATCCACTTTTCTTGGAGTCCGTATGGCAGTTTTTCTACAATTGGATTTATCCCGGACGAAGAGTCGAAATAAGCTAGCAAACATCCCAGCTTGGGATTTTCTTTGTGATACTCTATTTCTGAGATATCTGACAAATCGTACAGGAGTGAGTTGTCTTTATTTGTCAGTGTTGGAAAGTTGGCAAGTTTGTTGACGAGAGACGCCTCCAACATTATTGGAGCACCATATCGGTCGTCCAGTCTCTCCCATAGTCTGTGTAGGCCCCTTGTTGGGTTGTTGGCATTTGATGCCCTTATACTCATGGCATGTTTGGCAGACTCTGGTCCAAGCCATTCAATAATTAGGTCTATCTGTTCCGAGTCTGAAACTTGTAATTCATCTATGACGTTTTTAAAGCTGGCTTTCCATGTATGGAAGGATTCTGCCCGGTCATTAAAGCTTGTTAACCGGGAGAAAAACTGGTCCTTGCGTAGTAGAAATCTGGTTATCTCCGACGTAGGATTGATTTGTTGTTGGTATGCAACATGGATATCTTCTATAACGCCTTGTTTATGGTATGCAACAGGGATCTTTTCTGAAACGCCCTGTTTTTGTATGTCAGTTACCGTTCCCAGATCTGGGATTCAAGTAACTTCTGGTGACTTGGTATTGGTAGGCAAGACAGTAGGTGTTTGTGACGGCAAGTTCAGTGCCACGGATGGCACGAACGCTGGTGCTTCAGGACTCAGCTCAATCTTAACAGGAATTTGTTTTATCTTTTGAGGTCCTGTTACTTTCTGTACAGCAGTTGGTACATGTTCATTGACGAAATTTTGCACACGCTGAAGAGGGTCTTCCGTTTCGTCAGGGAGATCGCTAAATGCTTGGCTGCCGTCGTATTCAAGGATACGAGCCTCGGCTTCTGTGGCTGCAGCTTCTTTTTGTGCTTTTAGAATGTTCATAGCAGCCTTAATTTCTGCTTTTTTCCGTATTGCACGTGCAGCCTCTTTTTCCATTACAGTTTTCCTGCGTATGGCCTCACGTTTCATTTCAGCTTTCAGGTGTGCAGCCTCAGCATTTCTACGTATGGCCTCGTGCTCCGCCTCGGCTTTTCTACTTGCGGCTTCTTGATCTGCTCTGATTGCTTCTTGTTCTGCTCTGATGGCTTTTTGTTCCGCTTCGGCCTTTATTTCATTTTGCTTGAAAAGAGTCTGTTCTTCTATCATTGCCTCTTGCTTTAGTAGCAAGGCCTGTTTTTCAGCAAAGGCTATCTGAGATCTGGCAGCCTCTGCTTTGGCACGCTTCCTCCGTGCAAGACTTGACATGTCAGAGACGTTGGAGCTCCCACTGTGCGAAGTTTTCTTGCCTTTAGATGTCTTGGTTTTTGTAGATTTAGCCTTTGTCAGGTTGAGGCGATGCTCGTGTAAGGTTTCAATTGCTAGGTCAACTTTAGACATTCGGATATCTGTTGAAAGTTTACACGTATCAATGTCTTGAAGGCTGTCTAACGTTCTTGTATTTTTAAGAAATTTCAAGTATTCGTCTGTGAGCCTGCGATAATTAGTACAGGCTTGTACAATTTTATCTTGTGCTGTTAGCAATTGTTGGAGGTCGTTAGGAGGCGCGGTTGTTTCCAATAACTGAGATTCTAGGTCTGACCATAGGGCCTCTAAGTCATGATAGAACTTGTCGCGTTTTTCTGTAAAAACTCCTTGTCCCTTTTCGGTAAGTTCACGTACTCGCCTAGTCTCGGCATTTTCATCTAAAGGTGTTTTAGTAGACGGGTTCTCTAATTGTTCTTTAAAGACATTTCCCTCTGGGGGTTGAACCTCGTCTTGCTGCTCCGCTTGACTGGGATCCATGATGTAAATCAACTAACTGTAGGCAACGTTTGTTCAACGTTGTTGGTTTGCTGCCTAGGACACACAAGCTGTGTTGCGTAGTGTCAAGGTAACAGCTACGAACGATGCTCCGTTGTATTTCCTGTTCATGAGATGTGTAGGCAAGTTGTTTTCAATTTACTGTGTCCAGGAATGCACAGCCGACGTCTGGTTGTAGATGTTGTCACTGCCGCAAGGTGGAATATTCTGTAATACACAACAGGCAAGTTGTAGCTTATTTACTGTGCTAGCTCAACCAGTCAGTTTAAACCAGGTGATTGGGTTTACTAAGAGATAAAACAATAAGGTGCTGACTTTTATTCTATCACCAATCCAAAAATGGTAAATAACTAAAATACAAAATAAAGTACAATTTTACAATGTGTTAAATAATATAATTAAAGTTAATGATTCATCCGGTATGGAGTAGCGGCGTAGTCCGGGATGTAGCAATTCAATGCTCCGACACGGCGTAGTCCAGAATGTAGAAATGAAATACTTCCAATGTAAAAATAGATAAATTATACTTTTGTTGCACAGTTAAATGTATCACGCGCAATTTGAAGGCATCAATTAAACTATTTCAAATGTTACTCACGCTGTGGTTAGCCACAAATTGAGATTAAGAATGCATCCTCCGACAGTCCTTTGTACAGTGATGTGACGTGGCAAGGTTGATTTGCAAAAGACGGATGCGAGGCTACGGTAACAATAGAATGTTGTACGGTGAAGTCCAGATTTAACTCCGAAAAAATATAAACTAATCGTGAATATAATTACACAAAATATATAGATAAATTAGGGAATCCAAGGCAACACAAGGTGCAACAGCAATTACTTCTGGTTGGACATCGATAGTATTTTCAATCTCATCATCGTCGGATTCCTCATTTGCTGAAAATATAAATGAGTTGTAAACAAAAAAAATACAAATGTTATAGGCGTAACACGTGTGGAGCAGGAGAGTTAAAAACCATGAATTTTGTTTGTGTTAGTTTTGTTTAGTCTTGTTTTCATAAAGTGTTTAGTAGATTGGTGGTATTCTTCAAATTTTAAATTATGAGCATGTAGTCTCAATTTGATGTTGCAAATCAAAATTATCATGGTTGTTTTTATTTGTAAGGGAATAGTGTGGTTGTTGTTGGTTTTTCTTTTGTAGTGGGAGGGGAACATTTTTTCTGGAATTTAATATAAAAAACTTTGTTTTTATAAAAAACATGCATTTTATATTTTTTCCTAAATTTTCAATGGATATATTTAATTGTTTTTCACTGAAAAAAAAACGCAATTGTTCTTGTTTTTTTTTTTTAATATAAAGAAATTTTTTTTTTCAATCGCAATGTTGTTTTATTTCGATCTCAGTTGGTTTTTCGAATGTCATTCTCCAAAGGAAATGAAGTTTATTCTTATTCACAGAATTAAACTAGTTTGGCATTGGGTACGATTTGACTAAGGTACGAGTTGTCGTAAACCCACTATAACTGACTGGTTGCCTTACGTTTGCGATTTTGTTTAAATACATTAAATAATTTGATGAAGATGGGAAAGTTCACGCTGAATTAATAAATGGTAAATTTTCATGAGTAAGCAAAGTAACCAATGTGGTATACTTTCCTCCGTAGTTAATTTGAAAAACGTAACAAAACTGATTTAGGCAGAGACCGATCTAATTTTAGGTCAAATATTCCATCAATCATTCCGATTTTTGTTTCATTGATCCGTTGGTATATGAACTATATAGATAATCAATATGTGGATAGTAAAAGGTTTAAAACCTTAAAATTTCACTAAGCAGTTTTATTTTATTTTTATCTTTCATGCACATTAGTCATTACGACATTAGCGTTGTAGTACATATCTATTTTTAGATACTCTTTTTAGCAAAGTACCAAAGGGAAATTCCCAGAAAGGGAGAGCAGACGATAGTCGGAGAAAGTCGGTCTCATACATTTTAAGTTTCTTTCTTTTAAGTGGAAATGTAAAATTAAAAAAGATATTAGAGGTTGATTTGAATATAATAAAAAACATAGGAACACAAATATACCTGCAGGAAAGCATTCAAAGCATGATGTTTCAATTCCTCCCTGTATTCCAGAAAAGCTTGTTGAATCCTGTAACATGTTTACAACCCTCTCAACACTTGAAGATGGTTTTTGGGGGCAGTTTTATTTATCTCTCTCCTATGCTCTGTGCAGGCCGACTTAGCTTTTGTTGTCAAGTTCCTCCATTTGTCCCTCACCTCCTTCTGGGTTCTGTTGGCAACACCAAGAGCATTTATTTTGTTTGTAATGTTGGTCCATATTTTATTTTTTTCCTGGTTAGTTGTACTGGTACTTTGCTTTTCCCTGATTGTGGCATAATTTTTTTCAACCTCTGTCTGCAGGATGTTTTCCTCCAACCGGGAAAAGTTGGTTTTTCTCAATCTTGGCAGCTTCTTTGGATTTGATGTATCCTCCATTTTGTATGCAGTTGGCAGGAAGTTTAGGTGCTTGCTCAAGTGCATTTAGGGCAAATTTGCATAATGGGTGTTAATTTTAGCTTAATCAAGTGATTAAAATTTAATGCAGTGATTAGTTAATGCAATGATTAAAATATACTCAGCAACAGATTTTAATCAGTGCGTTAGCTTATCAAATGATTAGTATTTAACGATGCATTAGAGTAAATCATTTGATTAGCTTAACGACAAGTCGAACAACAGACCCCTTGATTTTAAGTTTTCGTTTTGTCATCTAATAATGTCGTGCTGATAATTAAGTGCACAGTTTTCTCTGCTTCTAAAATCCTTCTTTTTGAACCCGTCGACCCAGAACTTGTTAATTATTGGTAGTAATAATTATGTGGAAAACAAAAGTGCCTGGAATGGTGTAATTAAGAGATTACTGTATTTTATTTGAAGCTTTGCAGACGTCCATCGGTAGTTTTACTGTCGCAAATTTAGTTTACCTGGTGATGCTTAGCGGAGACAGGTAAACGGGTATTTAGTCCTAATCATTGAGTACATGTACATTATATTAAAAATTAAAAATTTATAAAGTAAAGGATTATCTAACTTGTCTTTAATCAGAAATGAAGCCACACAACACTGTGTGACAACAGTGAAATATAAGTCTCCCATAGATGCACATACTATTATGTTAGGTCTTTTGTATACATGTGTTTAAGGTTACTTAGAATTGGCTGTCGACATACATGTACACATGGACTCACTGTCGGGAATGGAGTCATTGATTGGACCCTAGGTTACTTCAGTCCATTATCAGTCACTATCAAAAGTCAACTCCTCTGTCCATTTGTTGTAATACAATGTACTGCTGAAAGGGAGAAAACAGTACTTTATTAATAGCATGTGGATGCAAGACTACATGTATAATAAGTATTCAAAGAGTATTGCAAACAATTAGCATATACATTTATTTTTTACTAATATTAAACATGTGCTATCAAATATCATAAAGTAATGGATTGAAGTCATGGAATTAACGCGAAGTTGCTACGAACAATGAAGAACAAAATAAAGTTAAATTTTTGACCCTTTGAACCTTTAATTTATGTAGGGGTTCAACATCGTGCAAGTCTGAGTTCCGGGACCTGTCTTTTCTAGGAGGGGACTTTTTATTTTTAAATTACAAGTCAAGAACCTACCATTCTTAACATAGATCATATGCTTTAAACAGGACCATTAAATTTCTTTTGGAGGACCTTTCACTGGACTGAAAATTTCAAATGGTCCAGGATCATTCATTTTTTAATGCAAATTTAAACTCCTGCCTTTATGTAGACCAATTTGAAAACTAGGGCCAAAATAAAAATCTTAATACACGGTTAGATTCTGCAAAAAAACCTAAGATATTAGATTCAGCGTATTAAAGTACCTGAATAATGCAAGACTTTGCATTAAACTCCATTGAAATTTGTCAAGAAATAAACAACTTGTACAGAGTATTAGAAAAGTATTGTTTAGGCCCCTTATAATTATCATGCTTCTGAACTGTTAAGGCCAAAACCCCCAAAATCAATCCCCACCTTCCCTTTTTTTGGTATGGAACCTTGAGGTTCAATTTCATAGAGATCCATAGAAAGGTATGGGACTTTCTTATAGTTGAAGGCTGTACCATGACCTACATTGTGTATAGTTAATAACTTCCATGTCATTTGATCTCGGATGGAGAGTTGTCTCATTGGCAATTATACCACATCTTGATCTTTATATTATATTCAAGTTAATGTCTGGAAACAAGAAAATCCTTGTTTTTTGGGTCCTAAATTGATATGTAACTTGTCATATTAACACTATACAACAATCATGACAATTATCAAATCAATATCTTCAAGCATATATAACAAAAAAAGAAAGTGAAAAACTGATTATTTGCCTGAATTCCAATGACCATATCTATGCAATAAAACATCTAAACAGAATAAATATTGAACTTGATCTGTAAATAAAGGCAACAGTAGTATACCGCTATTCGAAATTCATAAATCGATTGAGAAAAAAACCAAATCCGGGTTACAAACTAACACTGAGGGAAACACATCAAATATAAGAGGTGAACAACGACACAACAGAAACTCAACACTAAAATGCAACACACACAGAAACGAACTATAATATATCAATGGCCATTTTCCTGACTTGGTACAGGACATTTTAAGAAAAAATGGTGGGTTGAACCTGGTTTTGTGGCTAGCCAAACCTCCCGCTTTTATGGCAATGTTAAATATAACAATTAAATGACAAGATTACATGACAGGACTACAATACAAATAAATGGGAGAACATACAGGACAGAGACACACACAAATAATAGCTATCAAAAGGTACCAGGATTATAATTTAATACGCCAGACGCGCGTTTCGTCTGCACAAGACCCACCAGCGACGCTCAGATAAAACAAGTTCGAAAGCCAAAACAAGTACAAAGTTGAATAGCATTGAGGACCAAAGGTTAAAAAAAAAGTTGTGCCAAAAGGCCCAAATACGGCTAAGGTTATATACCTGGGATAAGAAAATCCTTAGTATTTAGAAGAATTCATACTTTTGCAAACAGTAAATTTATAAAAATTACTATTTAATAGATAAACAGTTTAACACCGATGTGGTGACTAACTACAGAATAAAAACGAATTCATAAAACAACCTAAATCAGCACATAAAAAATGCACAGCCGAACAACGTATTATATGTTAGCCGAAGAAATCGACGCACAATGTGACGTCCCATTTAAATTTCTATAAATTTCCAAAAAATAGGATAGAGTTCAAGATTAGGTTTGTAATTCTGATATAACATGTATTAATAACAATGAAAATTACAATACTTATTAATATAAAATTGTGGTAGTAATTTGATTATTAATTGTATTATCAAGCTATACCTGTATTTCTTCTAAATCAAACTGTAAACCAAATACATCGTATAAATTTAGTTGACCCAAACTAAAATCTTATAAATAAACTGGGTGATGAATTATCTTTACCGTAACACACGAATAGAACAGAAAAAAAAAAGATTTACAACTACAAACGATAAGACATTTAACAAAATCCGATGAGAATAACAAATATAACATCAAAACTAAATACATGGATTTTGGATAGAAAAATACCGTGACGCGTCTTATAGCAATGCGAATTCACACTCAGCAAAACAGTCACAATCGGGAATAAGTCACGTTCGGTATTTAAAAGATCAGACGACGTAATGGCAAACCACAATCTAACACGTGGTAAAAATGTCCTTTGTTAGTTTGGACAAAGACACATCG